TTGTAACAAATAGTATTTGAATAAAAGCATTTAATTGGGTAAAACCCGGGCGTTGCCCGGGTCATTCAGCTAGTAGATTATAAACACAATAAGACCAAATCCATTTTAAAATCCAAATTGTGCGCCTTATCATTTTTATAGACTTCAATGGACCTAAGAAGTTATCTATTTATTTGGTCTTATTACCTTGTGTTTTTACCTCTCTACAAAGGCAACGAAAACTGTCCTTTATAGAGAGGTGTCCTCTCATAGAGGTTCTATTGTATATTGTGCAAGAGAGAGTTATATTTGGTTGTGTGTGTTCTGAGAACAAATTGTAGAAATGTAACTAGGTTATATAGGTTCCCTGTGGACTGTGCAGAAGGCCAGCTGGTGGAAGGGGAGGACCACGTTGAAGTAAACGGGGAGATCTTCAATAAACCTTTCGTGGAGAAACCCATCAGTGCAGAGAACCATAACATCTACATCTACTATCCCACATCAGCCGGCGGTGGAAGCCAGCGCCTCTTCCGCAAGGTAGATTGCTCTCAGATACTGTTGTTATTGTTTCTTATCCCCTTGTACAAAGATTACACAAATTCCATGAGTTCATGTTCCTCAAGCAGTTTTATGATAAGCAGTGGCCTCTCCCAAAGGTCCTGTTTAGTGTATCTAATGCAAGCCAAAATATGTTCTGGAGCTGCGGGTACCAATCTACATTTTGGGCAAGTGGGGTAGATTTTGTTGTTATCTTCTATCTTCAATGGCTTGAGATGGCCTGTTCTAAATCTTGTTAGTGTTGTTTGGTGCTGACTGAGGTTCAGAGCTCCTCCAGGGTCCACTCCACTGTGCCATCTGTGCTATTGAAACCTCTTTTCTATTTCTTCTTCCTAGTTAAATGAGTTAACCATTGTAGACAACAAACAGATCAGCGTAGTAGGCATGTACCATGTTTTATACTTTAAAACATAGTATTTAAATAAGAAATGAAAATTCTTTTACACATGAAACAAACTTCAACCGTCCTTACTGTGATGAAAAAAATATTGGGAGAGCTTGGCTCATCCGTGACAGGCCCTTCCAGCGGTTTCACCAATTTAATCTACCAGACCACTTTCTAAAGCTTTAATACTGTATTGGATGATTCTGCTTATATATGCTACACTGAAGAAATAGAAACAATAGCCAAAACAAAAATAAACAAGAACTGGAGGATCCCACCTAAGCACGCACAGTTGGTACAGTGGAGTGAAACCAGCTCTGAACATCAGAAATAGACAGCACCAAACAACACTAACAAGATTTAGAACAGGCCATCTCAAGCCATTGAAGATAAAAAATAATAACAAAATTTATCCCACTTGCCCAAAATGTAGTTTGGTACCTGCAGCTCCAGAACACATTTTGGCTTGCATTAGATGCACTAAACAGGACCTTTGGGAGAGGCCGCTGCTCATCATAAAACAGCTCGAGGAGCATGAACTCATGGAATTTGTGTAATCTTTACACAAGGGGATAAGAAACAACAACAACAACACACTGAAGAAAACTATGGACATAAGCTTTTAGGAGTAGAAGTTTGTTTAATGAGCAAAAGTTACATTTAATTCTTTCATTTCTTATATTGTCTTATAATTGATAGTATTTAAATAGATGAGACAATTAACAATTCAATAATTTTATTGACACTTAGTCAATTAAAAAAAAGGCATCTCCTTATCGTGCAACTGAAAGTTGCTGATGGCTTGCGCCATCTATCGGAATAAATATCAACTATTCTCGTTGAATTTCTAATTATTCCAGAATTGGCCAAATATTAAAAATCAACGAGAATAGTTGATATTTATTCCGATAGATGGCGCAAGCCATCAGCAACCTTCAGTTGCACGATAAGGAGATGCCTTTTTCTCAATTTATGCACCTTATCCCAGTACAATATCACATTTGTACTATTTTTTTCACTAATTGTTGCAAAAATGTATGGGTAAATAAAATAAAGATAAATGAATTTACAATGCACTAGCACGCCATCTGTTATCAAATTACCAAACTATTTTAGACGCGTAATATTCTTTTTTTTTTAAATAAAAGTAAGGGCAGTAGAAATTGTTTTATTTTAAAAAGAATATTAAACATCTAAAATAGTTTCGTAATTTGATAAATGGTACTATTTACAATTTGAGGGATAAGCAAAAAAAAAAAAAAACAATTTGATGATAAAATATAAACAGCTGTTCTCAGGAAGGGAGGCTCCTCCATCTTGTCCTCCTCCAAACAAGGACAGGATCTCTCAGTTCAATGTGGAGATAGAAGCAACTCTTGGCAGAGGGGGTCCATGGGGATAGAAAAAAAAACAGTTTTATTCTTACAGTTTAAATTAATAAAAAAAAAAAGGCATCTCCTTATCGTGCAACTGAAAGTTTCTAATGGCTTGCGCCATCTATCAGAATAAATATCAACTATTTGTTGATTTTTTTAATATTAATGATATTTATTCCGATAGATGGCGCAAGCCATCAGCAACTTTCAGTTTCACAATAAAAAGATGTCTTTTTTCCCCAGCACAATTTCATATTTGTACTATTTTTTCCCAGTTTAAATTATGTTCAATCAGCTGTGAAGAAGGTATGACCAAGAAGAGAATTCTAAAGGAAGATGTGTGCCCCAGATTGGCAGCCGGAGCAGTGTGTACTCCCCAGAAAGCCGGATCCGCAAGACTGGCTCCTACATCTACGAGGAATTTATGCCAACAGATGGAACAGATGTGAAGGTGGGTTTGGCATATACTTCTTCTTTTTTTTTTTGCTTCTAAACTCGGAGTTTATTCCTAAATACAGTGCTATAACTTTTGTTTTTAATGGTACATCATTATTATTTATTTTTTGCTTATCCCTAGTACATGTGGTACAGGCCATGATAATCATGGTGGGTAGAAGGCGACTGCTTTTACTGTATTATTATTTTTTGCTTATCCCTAGTACATGTGGTACAGGCCATGATAATCATGGTGGGTAGAAGGCGACCGCTTTTACTGTATTATTATTTTTTGCTTATCCCTAGTACACGTGGTACAGGCCATGATAATCATGGTGGGTAGTTAGCGACTGCTTTTACTGTATTATTATTTTTTGCTTATCCCTAGTACATGTGGTACAGGCCATGATAATCATGGTGGGTAGTTAGCGACTGCTTTTACTGTATTATTATTTTTTGCTTATCCCTAGTACATGTGGTACAGGCCATGATAATCATGGTGGGTAGTTAGCGACTGCTTTTACTGTATTATTATTTTTTGCTTATCCCTAGTACATGTGGTACAGGCCATGATAATCATGGTGGGTAGTTAGCGACTGCTTTTACTGTATTATTATTTTTTGCTTATCCCTAGTACATGTGGTACAGGCAATGATAATCATGGTGGGTAGTTAGCAACTGCTTTTACTATAAATGCACCACATGTCTACACATGTGAAAAGCAGTTCGACTTTTCACTTACAAATGTGCCAGAGCCCCGTTTAGTTACTTGTACTCACTGGTGGGGTTGGACTTTTACAAGAATCGGGGGCCATTGGAACATTTTTTTTATTAGAAAAAAGTGTCCAATGTGGGAATCGAACGCTGGTCGTAGCGGTCGCAAACTAACAGTTTAGACCATCCTTCCAACGACCCTCATTATTTTTTTAAGTAACACAACACTTCAAGTTAATTCTCTCATCTTCAGTTTTAAAACATTCTCAAGTTTATAAATATTTAAGTTTGAGCTAATTACTTTCAACTGCAGGATGTGTGCATGTTGTCAGCCAGTACCTGTACCATAGAAGTAGACTTCTTTTTTAACATAGGTTATCTCTAATGAATAAAAAATTATTTATTTGATAAAAAAAGAGAACCAATATTCTACTTTCATTTGCAACTAGGTAATAAGGTTTTTTAACTAGGATATCATCAAATCCAGTTAAAATCCATCTATTGAACCAGCAGAATAAATATCTGGATAACATCCAAAGGTAATAAGACCAAATAAATAAATAGTGTGTGACATTTCAGTAACCACGCTGTTACCATCTTCAGATAAAAGTGCTGAATGTACCATGTTACTATCTTCAGTACTTTTGTCTGAAGATGGTAACAACGCTGTTGCACCGAAACATCACACACTATTTATTTATTTGGATTTGTTCTTGTTACCTTGTGTTTATCATTCAGTACTTTTGTCTGAAGATGTTAACATCGCTGTTACACCAGAACGTCACACACTATTTATTTATTAGGATTTGTTCTTGTTACCTTGTGTTTATCATTCAGTACTTTTGTCTGAAGATGTTAACATCGCTGTTACACCAGAACATCACACACTATTTATTTATTAGGATTTGTTCTTGTTACCTTGTGTTTATCATTCAGTACTTTTGTCTGAAGATGGTAACATCGCTGTTACACCGAAACATCACATACTATTTATTTATTTGGATTTGGTCTTGTTACCTTGTGTTTTAGTCTATAATCCAAATTGTGCCTTATCAAGAACAAATCCAAAATATTGAAATGTTTGTGACATATCTGTAACAACGCTGTTACCAAGAAATCACAAACATCAATCACAATAATTTGGATTTGTTACCTTCTGATTCTAATTCAAATTGTACCTTATATCAATCTGGACAACATGCTATCGGCTCTTGAATAAAAGCTCAAAAACATCAAAGTTATGTGCGATCTTCTTCTTCTTCTTGCTTATCCCTAGTACACGTGGAATTTGTGTAATCTTTACACAAGGGGATAAGAAACAACAACAACAACAACAACACGTGGTACAGGCCATGATAATCATGGTGGGTAGAAGTTGGCGACTGCTTTTACTGTAAGTTCACCAGATGTCTACACATGTGAAAAGCAGTTCGACTTTGCACTTACAAATGTGCCAGAGCCCCGTTTGGTTACTTGCACTCGCTGGTGGGGTTAGACTTTTGCAAGAATCGGGAACATTGGAGCTTTTTTTTTTTCTTAAATCAGAAAAAAAGTGCCCAATGCGGGATTCGAACCCGGGTCGTAGTGGTCGAAAACCAACGGTTTAGACCATCCTTCCACCGAATTTCATTTCCACCAAATGGATTAAAACATTTTTACTGCTGGAAGGGTTCCCCACTGATGAGCCAAGCCATCCCAATTATTTTCCATCACAGTAAGGACAGTAGGAAGTTGGTTTTATTTGATAAAGGGTAATACAATTTCGCCAAATTGTTTCTTTTCTTAAATACAGATGGTTTACTTATGCCATTATACTGGTTTTTAAAAAATTATCATTATATTTCTAGTGTACATGTGGTACAGGCCATGATAATCATGGTGGGTAGAAGTTGACGACTGCTTTTACTGTAAGTGTACCACATGTCTATACACATGTGAAAAGTAGTTTGACTTTTGCACTTACAAGTGTGCCAGAGCCCCGTTTGGTTACTATTGTTGTTTCTTATCCCCTTGTGTAAAGATTACACGAATTCCATGAGTCCATGCTCCTCGAGCTGTTTTATGATAAGCAGCAGCCTCTCCCAAAGGTCCTGTTTAGTGCATCAAAACTGGTTCCAATTATGCTGTAAAAGTGTGTTGTGGACCACTGTGTGGGGCAGGTGTACACAGTAGGCCCAGACTACGCCCACGCCGAAGCCCGCAAGTCTCCTGCCCTCGATGGCAAGGTGGAGAGGGACAAGGATGGCAAGGAGGTCCGCTACCCAGTCATCCTGAGTAACACGGAGAAGCTGATTGCCCGCAAGGTCTGCCAGGCCTTCAGGGTGAGTGGTGGTTGACCCTCTTGTTGTGTCACTCCTTCCTATGGCGGGATTATATCCTCGGGGTACTCTCGCCTGAGCACAAGACTATTCTCACCAAATTCCTCAACACTGTCAATGAGCATGTTGGAGGCATGGATCCCAGAATTGTCAGGGGCCTGTCCAAACTTTGGACCGTTCTCGGCTCCTGATGAAATCCAGACATCCCTTCAGAAAGGGTTTTGTCTGTTGTAAATATTTCTCCCTATTTTAACCTGCAACCTCTCTCCCTACTATATTGACTAGATGTCAATAAACTTTTTTATTGTCAAATTGTCCTCCCTATGGCTGGCTGCTGCAGCAAACTGTCTGCGGGTTTGACCTCCTACGGGCCAACGGCAAGTCCTACGTCTGTGATGTCAACGGCTTCAGCTTTGTTAAGAATTCCATGAAGTATTATGATGATTGCGCTCGCATTCTGGGGTAAGATGGAGATGTGTTCTGTGTGTCTGTGGATGTGGTAACAGCCATGTGAACAGGAACATGATCCTGAGAGAACTGGCCCCCCAACTCCACATTCCATGGTCCATGCCCTTCCAGCTGGATGATCCTCCCATAGTACCCACCACGCTAGGCAAGATGTGAGTACAGTCTCCGACACATTCTCTGACATTGTAGTGACCAAGATAATAAGACCAAATTCAAATAAATAAAAAAGTGTGTGATGATTCAGGTAACACATCATTGTTACCATTCAGTACTTTTGTCTGATAATGGTAACAACGCTGTTATAGAAACATCGCACACTATTTATTAATTTGAATGTAGTCTTGTTACCTTGTTTATTCTAATGTATAATCCAAATTGTACCTAATCCTATGACACACACAAGCTGAAATGAGGTAATGGCAACTCACCGTGTTGGCTGCAGGATGGAACTGAGGTGTGTCATCGCTGTGATCCGACACGGGGACCGAACTCCGAAGCAGAAAATGAAGATGGAAGTCAAACATCCCAAGTGAGTAGTGTTTGCCAATTTATATATTTTTTCTATTGAAGATAGAAAATAACAACAAAAGTTAACCCAGTTGCCCAAAATGTAGCTTGGCACCTGCAGAACACATTTTGGCTTGCATTAGATGCACTAAACAGGACCTTTGGGAAATGCTGTTGCTTATCATTAAACAGCTGGAAGCACTACTCAGTGGCAGGCCGACTTAGCTCCAAAAGAAATGGCCGCCTGACATGAGGAACAGACGCCATGTACAGCCGCTCCTAACATGGAGTACAAACGCTGCTCATCCTGTATCCCTGGATTAGGAGCCCTTACAGGGTACTATCAGCTGGGCCAGCTGAACTCAGGTTTTTTAGTGAGCTTGTTACTGCTCCCCCTCCTCCTTTTTCATCCGGGCTTGGGACCGGCAAAGATGGAGTTAATTTGTTAAATAAATATTCTCCTACAAAACATGAATGGAAGTTGATCCTTGCTGTTATCAATCCCCTAGTGCATTTAGAAATGTTGGGGCAGTAGTTCAAATGAATTATTATTTTTTTACTAGATGCTTTCTCTTGTGTGTGGGTGGTTTCTTGTTTGGATGAATTATGTTAGAATTCTGTGACTGCCACTTGGGTAAAGATGTCTCAAAGCGGATACTCATTTGAATAAAAAGAAAGTTTTCATAAAACCATGAACAAAAGATAACCAAAGGAATTGTGGGTCTGAAGTCTACACTGATATGGACAAAACTTAAGGAAGATGTACCTTTTAGCATGTATAACACAAGGTGATAAGACAAAATCTATATAGATTGATAGTGTGTGACGTTTCAGTAACAGCATTATTACTATCATCTTACAAAAGTGTTGTCCAAAAGGACAAACAACAAATGTTGTTGCGCAGGTTCTTCGAGATATTTGAGAAGTATGGGGACTTCAAGGAGGGCCATGTGAAGCTGAAGAAACCAAAGCAGCTTCAGGTGAGTGTTTCTACCACAGCTTAAACCAGCGGTAGGTCTGAGCGACTGTGCAGGAGATCCTAGATATCGCCAGGTACCTACTAGTAGAGATAGAACAGAAGCAAGACCCAGAGATAGAGGAGAACAAGGCCAAGCTGGAACAGCTCAAGTCTGTCCTGGAGATGTAAGTTTCCAGCCTGTGGCCGACCTGGGAGATGGCTTTGACACGGTGCAGTGGCTGCAGGTACGGCCACTTCTCTGGTATCAACAGGAAGGTCCAGCTCAAGTACCAGCCCAAAGGTAGACCTAGGAGATCGAGTAGTGATGAAGGTAGGTACTGGAGAACCTTACTCTCTCCTTTCTTCTAAATCTCCACTTCTAACCTAGAAATAAGATAATAAAAGGGATAAATATTAATGAGACAGGGATATAGGTCTCAGAGGATTTATTATGGGGAGTGATTCATCTTTTTTGGTAAGCCACAGTCACTAGGGGCTGATCCAATGGGGTCGTAGGGTCTTGGGTTCTTTCAGGCTGGTTATAGGGGGTGTTGCTGCTATAGCACGACATGTTATAATATTTTCCATCAAAGTGTATTCTGTTAGAGGGGTAAAAGATAACTGGCTTGTTATCTCTAACAATTTACTGTGAAAACAGTGGTTAATGGTCAAGTTCAATTCTACTCATCATCTCTGTGGTGCCATTTCTGATATAACTAAAATAAATTTTGAGTTTCCAATTTAATAAATAACATTTCCGGTCACGTCCACCTTCCAGTTGGTTACTTGTTGACACACAAAAAATATATAACTCAGGTTCCTGAAGTGAAGTACGCTAACTACCCAAAAAAAGAGAAATATGTTCTAGAGAATTAAAAAAAATAATAATTTGGAAATTTCTACAGAAGGGGGAAAATACCATTAATAACAGACATCACTTATCATATTGAAAGAGATATAGGATATCAAGTTGTGACCCTTGATGGTGTCTGTTTGACAACCACTGGGTGAAGTACAATGCATCTGCCTTTGTCACTAAGACTGGGAGCACTACTCAGTGGCAGGCCAACTTAGCTCCAAAAGAAATGGCCGCCTCTGACATGAGGAAAAGACGCCATGTGCAGCCGCTCCTAACATGGAGTACAAACGCTGCTCATCCTTAAAAATTTTTAATTAAAGATTTATTTATGGATTGCTCTATTTTCAAAAGACTTAAAAATATGATTGAAAATTTGTTCCTACTTCGTTGTTGTTAGTGTCCAACTTTCAGTCACTGTATAGAGACAAATATTCTCCGATTTGAACTGTTAGTGATCATCACTCTTATCTAGTGACCTTCCAAGCTCCTTCTTCAAATAAATATTATTCTCTATCAAGCAACAAAAACTCTACTAAGCAAATTCTCTACTAATCAAAAATTCTTTTTCATCATAAAATACCCTGTGTTCAAATTAAAAAGGTTTCATAATGCTTCTTTAAATTTAAGTCACTACCCCATTTAGGGGAAGTTTTTCATAATATGAAAAAGTGCAATAAAATTTAGTAATCTTCTCAAAAAATCACCTATTTACTAATTAACTGCTCTCCTATAAGAGAGAACACCTCTATCTAAAGAACTCAAAATCAGTTTCCTTTTCAGAGAGGCTCGACTCTATTTATATATTAAAAGCAATGGCATATCCTGACTGTTCACATGAGCATTTTTGATGTCAGAACGCCATCTAGTGGAACAAAAATCAACTAAACTTTGATTTAACTTTGTTCCGTTATATTTGGCCAACCCAATTTCTTGATAAATCAATAAAAGCCAACCACCACTGTGTTTTTAATATCTGTTCTTTTTTATATTTTAAAATCAATTATTTCACATATATGTATAGAGGGATAGATATATATATATAGATACACCAATACCTTGCTTTGCGTCGTTTCGTTTAACGTTTTTTTCGAAGTTGCGTCGCTGCTTAATTTTTACTGATTTTCACTGTGCGTCATTAGATTTTCGAAGTTACATTGTTTTGGATTAGAGTCTTTAATTTTTTTTTTTTTTAATTGTTTTCCTAAAATATGGCAACACCTTTGTTTTTGATTGTGCCTTCACATATTTTCACTTTGCGTCGTGTTTTTTTGGAACGCAACCCCGATGCAAAGTGAGGTATGGGTGTACATCAAATATAAATCTCCGAGGATAAGTTTCTTTATTTGCACTATTAACGAGTTTACAAGCTTTCGGGTTTTAAACGACCCTTCTACAGTTAAAATGAAGAGGAAACTATGCTGTATTGTAGTCAGCTTGTAAACTTGTCTTCTTCTTCTTTCTTATCTTCACTCAATCATATCAGGATATCAAGCTTGTAGAGCTTGAGATTTGACAACCATCATGACTGGGTGAAG